ACATGTCTCAAACTGATTATCTGCGATACTGTAATGCTTTCTGTGCATGCAATCAAGTCAACTCCCCTAGTCAACCATAACCATAACAGCTAAACTCATCTACTCACTAGTCAACAGCTAAACTCATCTACTCACTAGTCAACAGCTAAACTCATCTACTCACTAGTCAACAGCTAAACTCATCTACTCACTAGTCAACAGCTAAAGTCATCTACTCACTAGTCAACAGCTAAAGTCATCTTCTCACTAGTCAACAGCTAAACCCATCTACTCACTAGTCAACAGCTAAACTCATCTACTCACTAGTCAACAGCTAAACTCATCTACTCACTAGTCGACAGCTAAACTCATCTACTTACTAGTCGACAGCTAAACTCATCTACTCACTAGTCGACAGCTAAACTCATCTACTCACTAGTCAACAGCTAAACTCATCTACTCACTAGTCAACAACTAAACTCATCTACTCACTAGTCAACAGCTAAACTCATCTACTCACAAGTCAACAACTAAACTCATCTACTCACTAGTCAACAACTAAACTCATCTACCCACTAGTCAACAGCTAAACTCATCTACTCACAAGTCAACAACTAAACTCATCTACTCACTAGTCAACCGCTAAACTCATCTACTCACTAGTCAACAGCTAAACTCATCTACTCACTAGTCAACAGCTAAACTCATCTACTCACTAGTCTACAGCTGAACTCATCTACTCACTAGTCAACAACTAAACTCATCTACTCACTAGTCAACAGCTATACTCATCTACTCACTAGTCAGCAGCTAAACTCATCTACTCACTAGTCAACAGCTAAACTCATCTACTCACTAGTCAACAGCTAAACTCATCTATTCACTAGTCAACAACTAAACTCATCTACTCACTAGTCAACAGCTAAACTCATCTACTCACTAGTCAACAGCTAAACTCATCTACTCACTAGTCGACAGCTAAACTCATCTACTTACTAGTCGACAGCTAAACTCATCTACTCACTAGTCGACAGCTAAACTCATCTACTCACTAGTCAACAGCTAAACTCATCTACTCACTAGTCAACAACTAAACTCATCTACTCACTAGTCAACAGATAAACTCATCTGCTCACTAGTCAACAGCTAAACTCATCTACTCACTAGTCAACAACTAAACTCATCTACTCACTAGTCAACAGCTAAACTCATCTACTCACTAGTCAACAACTAAACTCATCTACTCACTAGTCAACAACTAAACTCATCTACTCACTAGTCAACAGCTAAACTCATCTACTCACTAGTCAACAGGTGAACTCATCTACTCACTAGTCAACAACTAAACTCATCTACTCACTAGTCAACAGCTAAACTCATCTACTCACTAGTCAACAGCTAAACTCATCTACTCACTAGTCAACAACTAAACTCATCTACTCACTAGTCAACAGCTATACTCATCTACTCACTAGTCAACAGCTAAACTCATCTACTCACTAGTCAACAACTAAACTCATCTACTCACTAGTCAACAACTAAACTCATCTACTCACTAGTCAACAGCTAAACTCATCTACTCACTAGTCAACAACTAAACTCATCTACTCACTAGTCAACAACTAAACTCATCTACTCACTAGTCAACAACTAAACTCATCCACTCACTAGTCAACAACTAAACTCATCTACTCACTAGTCAACAGCTAAACTCATCTACTCACTAGTCAACATCTAAACTCATCTACTCTCTAGTCGACAGCTAAACTCATCTACTTATCTAGTGTTTTTCAGGCTGTAGACTCACAGACTGGGCTCAGTGTTGGGGCAGGAATCTCCACACAGGTGCCGTTGTCCAGAATTCGGCCGTTTGGACACGTGCAGACCGGACCACTGGGGCTCAGCAAACACAACCACTCGCACTTCTTCCTGTCACATGGGTTCGCCACTGCAATGCAGAACAGCAGAGTTTACATCATGAATAAACAACGCACTCAGTAAACCCATGTGTTTCCCTTTTCTATTATGTTTAGAAACGTGTAAAAATAAACTTCTTTCCGTTAAACAGAAATTGGGGAAAAATATACACACTGACTTCAACTGTGTATATATTTATATACGTACTCTCGGGCTGTTTGTAAGGGTGGTAGAGCACCAGATCTGTGGCGTGGTTCATTCCTGTAGTCAGATGCTCCACGGAACTCTTGCCAAACTTGTTGACGCGGAAAACAAAGTTGTTGTGATACGTCACTCCATATATGAAATCCTCAAAGATGTCGATGCTGAAAGGTTGCTGCAGATCTGAGTTTGACGAGAGAAATCAGTGTTTAATTACAAAATGAACGTTCATGAATAAAGTATCAGCTAATCACTTCAAATACAATAGAGATCATCAAAATAAAATGTGAATTGTTTTACTGATTGTTTCGCGGTTTTATTAATTTAAAGACAACATTAATGAACTTCATTTAATGGGATAGTTCACACCAAAAAAAAACATCATCCTTTGCTCAGCCTCGCCGTTTTCTTCATTAAGCAGCACATAACTCATTGCTGTCACGATTCCCAGCGATTTAGCCCTTATAGATCACTGGAGAACATTTATTATCCCTAGAACTACAGTCTGCCACAGATATGAACTACAACTCCTGTCATGCACCTCACACACACACCTGTTCCGGATCACCGATGATTACACACACACAAAGCTGGAAGCTCATCAAAGACTGATTACACAGATTATATATACTGCTCACATTCCCACACACTGTGCTGAGTCTTGTTATTGTAACACCACGAAGCAATTCCTAGTCTTTCCGTGTTTCTAGCCTTGTCTATGTTGTTGCTACCTGTACTGATCTTATTGCCTATGACCTCGACTACACCTTTGGACACAGTTGGCGTTTCTGTATGGAGTTTGCATGTTCTCCTTGAGTTGGTGTGGGTTTCCTCCGAGTGCTCCGGTTTCCCCCACTGTCCAAAGACATGCGCGGTAGGTGAATTAGGTGAGCTAAATTGTCTGTAGTGTATGCGTGTATGTCCTGGTCCCCAGATTGGAGTTTGAGCGTTGGGATAACAACTCACCTCATAAAACTAGATGTTACGAAACACCAATATGGTGCGGCTAAATATCAACTTCGATATAAATGGCCCTTGGGGTAAGTAAGTATGGTACTCAATGGCCAACATTCTTCAAAATATCTTCCTTTGTGTTCAACAGAAGAAGTACAGAAATTTGTGAGTGTGTTTTTATTTTTAGGTGAACTATCCCTTTAGCTTGATAACAAGCAATAAAACAATACATATACATATCCCAAAAACACAATTAAAAAAACAACAACAAAAAACACAGCAAGATTAAACAAAATGATGTCAAATAAAATAAAAACAGCTTAATATATGCAGTACATACAATTAAAGGTGCAGTAAGCTATAATTGAAAAACCTTTCAACCCACACACACACACTAAAAACAAAGCTGCACTGTTGTAACTCAAGCGTTGGAATAAAGTGTCACATCTTAATTTGAATAACAATTTCAATTTTAAAATAACCCAGTGTTGGGTTTGATAATATTTGACCCAATGCTGATTTGGGTTGATTTTTTAAGTACCGTGCAGCCATGACAGATCTGTGACAGAGACGAGGTGGACTCAACTGTTTTTAATGCTGGACACGGCGATGACCGGATCTGTGCCATTCAGTCTGACGCTCCCGATCACTGAGAGTTTCGCATCAGCCCAATACAGACGCTCGTTGAAATAATCCACCGCCAGACCTGCACAAACACAAGTTGGGTTTTCCTGTTTTATGGGGTCTTCACATAGACATAATGTTGTTTCTACTGTACAGACTGTGTTCTGTCCTCTTCCACCAACTCTGCACCTAAACCCAACCCTCACAGGACACAATCTGCAGTTTTACATTTTCAAAATATATTCATTATGTGTTATTTATCAGCCATTTACCTTACAGGGACCCAAAATGTCCCCACAAGGTCAACATTTACTGGCATTGCTATACGTGTGGGGATGTTTGGTACCCAAAATGTAATGAATACCAGGACCACACACACACACACACATACACACACATACACACACATACATACACACACACACACACACACACACACACACACACACACACACACACACACACACACACACACACTTGTACAGCTCTCTTTATGGAGACTTCCCACTGACATAATGTTGTTTCTACTCTACAGACTGTATATTCTGTCCTCTTCCACCAACTCTACCCCTAAACCCAACCCTCACAGTACACAATCTGCAGTTTTACATTTTTTAAATACTTCATTCTGTCTGATTTATGAGCCATTTTCCTTATGGGGACCCAAAATGTCCCCACAAGGTCAACATTTACTGACATTACTATACATGTGGGGGCATTTGGTACCCAAAATGGGATCAATACCAGGGCCACACACACACACAAACACACACACACACACACACACACACACACACACACACACACACACACACACACGTGTACAGCTATCTTTATGGGGACTTCCCACTGACGTAATGACTTTTATACTGTACAGACTGTACATCCCGTCTTCTTCCATCAACCCTACCTCTAAACCAACCCTTGCAGAAAACGCTGAGCAGTTTTATACTTTCAAATTACTTCATTCTGTCTGATTTATGAGCCCTTTGCCTTACAGGGACTAAAAAATGTCCCCACAAGGTCAACATTTACTGGTTTTGCTATACGTGTGGGGACATTTAGTACCCAAAACGTAATGAAAACAGGACCACACACACACTTGTACAGCTATCTTTATGGAGACTTCCCACTGACGTAATGATTTTTATACTGTACAGACTGTATATACCGTCTCCTTCCATCAACCCTACCTCTAAACCAAACCAGTTTTATATTTTCAAAATACTTCATTCTGTCTGATTTATGAGCCCTTCTGCTTACAGGGACCAAAAATGTCCCCTCAAGGCCAACATTTACTGGTATTGGTATTCTTGTGGGGACATTTGGTCCACATAATGTGATGAATATAAGCTACACACACACACGCACGCACACACCTATATGGTTTACAAGGACTCTCCATAGGTGTAATATTTTTTATACGGTAAAGAAATGCTCATTATACGGTCCTCGCACTCTCAAACCTCTAAACCCAACCATATGAAACCTGTGGCGAGTTCTGAATGTGAAATGACCTTGTAAAGTTTGACTTTTTAAGCATTTTGAATTACGACGACACAAGACATGTCCTCGTAAACCACCTTAACTCCTCAATTAAGAGAAAACACTTCCCTGCCATTGATGGGTTTTACACCATTTCATGTTTTAGGTATATTACTGTAGTGGAAGCCCTAATGCATGTCCTGAGTGTGGTACAGGACTTCTCTGTGTCCTGGGAATTAAATATAAGATAATCAGAGAAAGTGAACGTAAGATTGAAAATGAACTCATATATTACTAGCAGAAATCTTTCTGAGGGCCGTCAAATTTAGGTAAAAATCATCAAAAATGCTGGCAGTGGTTGCAAAAAAATGTCCCCACAAGGTCAACATTTACTGGTTTTGCTATACGTGTGGGGACATTAGGTACCCAAAACGTGATGAAAACAGGGCCACACACACTTGTACAGCTATCTTTATAGAGACTTCCCACTGACGTAATGATTTTTATACTGTACAGACTGTATATACCGTCTTCTTCCATCAACCCTACCTCTAAACCAACCCTTGCAGGAAACACTGAACAGTTTTATATTTTCAAAATACTTCATTCTGTCTGATTTATGAGCCCTTCTGCTTACGGGGACCAAAAAATGTCCCCACAAGGCCAACATTTACTGGTATTGGTATACTTGTGGGGACACTTGGTCCACATAATGTGATGAATATAAGCTACACACACACACACACACACACACACACGCACACACCTATATGGTTTACAAGGACTCTCCATAGGTGTAATATTTTTATACAGTAAAGAAATGCTCATTATACATTATTACTAGCAGAAATCTTTGCGAGGGCCGTCAAATTTAGGTAAAAATCATCAAAAATGCTGGCAGTGGTTGGCAACTTAAAAAAAAAAAAAACGCTGGCAGGGAAAGAGTTAAGAGCATAACAATAGCATACTCATGTTATTATACAATTTCATCCCCGTAAACCACATAAACAAGAACACATATACACACTCCCACAGCAGTGTGTGTTTGACCGCCATGATGACTGACCTGTGGGCCACTGGATGTTATCGTGGACCAGCGTCTCTCTCAGGGTCCCGTCCATCGCCGCCGTCTCGATCTTCGGATGGTTTCCCCAGTCGGCCCAGTACATGGTGCTACAGCAAACACATAGGGTCAATACAAATATTGATATACACTTGTGCTTGATTGTGAAATGTTTTAACAAAATAAGAGAGGTCATACAGTTAGGAGGACTCTAAGGGTCTACGCACTTTTGACGCCTGTTAGGGGCCCCAACAACCACCCAACTAATTCAAAACACCCATCAAATCACGCAAAACAAAGGAGCGCTTATGTGAGGTGTGTGTAATGCAGTGTGCATGAAGGCAGGACAGCAAATCTGAAGTTATTCTCTCTTCTGGCTGCCGTATCAGTCTCACAATTCGGTTTTCCTCTTTCTGAAGGTCTTGATAACACCATCCTGGAGTTTTTCTGTCATTATTTCAGCAAATAGGAATTGTAAAACAACTATTTAGTGTTCTTTCCCATTCACTGTGCTCTGAGTTTCCCAACTATGACGACTTCACAACTGAGATTCCCGGAAATGAGAAGACTCCATTATTTTATATACCCCTGTTGTGAGATTATTTTGGGAGTGTTGTTGTGTTCATGGTCATCTCACCCTCTCTGCGGATCCACCACGATGGCGTACGGCTCGTCGATCATTCCTGAGATCAGTGTTTTTCGGTTTCGTCCGTTCATCTGCGCCACCTCGATCACATCTCGACCAGAGTCCGTCCAGTAGATGTTATTGGCCACCCAATCCACAGCAATGCCACGCGGCATCTTCAGACCCGGGATCTGCCCAAGAGAAACACCGCATTTCATACACACACTCACTAAACACACCAACACAAACTGCTGAAGTCACAATTATTCGCCCTCTTGTGAATTATATTTTCAAATATTTCCCAAATGATGTTGAACAGATTCAGGAATTTTTCACAGTATTTCCTATAATATTTTTTCTCCAGGAGAAAGTCTTATTTGTTTTATTTTGGCTAGAATGAAAGCAGTTCTTAATATTTTTAAAGCCATTTTAAGGTCAATATTATTAGCCCCCAATAATAATTAATATTATTAATATATTAAGCAATATTAGTTTTGGATTGTCTACAGAACAAACCACTGTTATACAATAACTTGCCTAATTAACCTAATTTTACCCTAATTACCATAGTGGAGCCTTTACAGTTTTTCTCGATTGCTTGGATGCAGTTGTCAACTGAAACTCCACATTTTCAAAACAGTTAACACACAGGCCTAAACAGCGGCACTCATGGTCAAAATGACACATTTTGCTTGCAAAAGGCACATATAGTGTCAAAACATTTAACATATGCAACAAAAGCTAGTTTTACCTTCAAACAACACAACTTGCAAACAAGTATATGATCTCTTTCAATTAATCATTACACAATGGACAACAAAATACAAAATACAGAACTCAAAATGCACCACCATTGCTTGCCATTGTAGCTTATAGCCAATGGCATTTGTTGTCTCTATTTGGGCTTTCGAATTCGCCTTTTTGCAAAGAATTGGATCAAAAATAAGATGTGCTTTGATTGAATATATATTGAATTCATGACAATTTTCAAACTGTGGCTGAAAATAGAAATACTGTATATATAAAAAACAGACAAAAGTAATAAAATACTGTAAATATTAGAGAAAACACATGTAAACCAATATACAGTCAAATCTATTGGGAGTATAGGACATAGCCATATTGACCTCCTCCATCAATGCTGGCACAGAACAACACAGACCTTCCATCGTTTTTATAAGGTTTGCAGACTGATTGCTAATTGAAGATTTGTGTGAAGGAGTGTCAAACCGGTGCTTCAGTGATTTCATACTGATGTTGGTAGTTTTTAATAGTTAGGAATAGATGGATTCTGTTTGGTTACCAAAACTAAAACAATGGAGTTTGGACTGCTTGAATGACATCTGTGTTAACTGTTTGGAAAAATGGTGAGGAAAATGTGTCAACCCAACGAGAAAGGGTTTACACATTTGCAAGACCGGTCCTCTGCTCTGCTGGGATAGTGATAATGAAAATGAAGAGGAACCTAGTTTCTTTAACCAGGTCAAAGCAAACTAGAAAAACTGTAAATGTCACTTTAAGCTGAACACTAGTGTCTTGAAGAATATTTAGTCTAATATTATGTGCTGTCATCATGGCAAAGATAAAATAAATCAGTTATTAAAAATGAGTTATTAAAACTATTAAGTGTAGAAATGTGTTGTAAAAATCTTTTGAAAAATGTTTCTCTGACCTCCAGATCGGTGACTCTTGGATCGGTCTGTCTGCGGTTGCGGTTTGAGTTTGGTGACGTGGGTCCGGCTGACGGCTGCTCGAATGAAGAGATCCGGCCGGTGTGCCAGTTGGTCCAGAAGATGCGCTTGGATTTGATATGCAGGTCCATGGCGTCGATGCGGACGTTGGCGTCTCCTTGAAAAGCCTGTTCATAAATCCAGTTCTGCATTCCAGGATACAAACTGCGGATTTCATTATCATCCGCCACGTACAGAGCCTGCTTATCACTGCCTGGAGGACACGAATACACCACATTCAGTCTGACACCACGACAAATGACTTACATAGGTTTATTTTACAGCTCTCCTTGAGTTAAACTGTTGTGTTTTACCATATTTTAAATCAATTCAGCTGATCTCGGGGTCTGGCGGAAGCACTTTTAGCTTAGCTTAGCATAGATCATTGAATTGGATTAGACCATTAGCATATTGCTCAAAAATAACCAAAGAGTTTAGATAATTTTCCTGTTTAAAGCTTGACTTCTGTAGTGTCATCATGTACTTAGACTGATGGAAATTAAGAAATAAAACAGCTTAGTCACTTTATTCATCAGGGGTCACCACAGCGGAATGAACTGCCAACTACTCCAGCATATGTTTTACACAGCGGATACCTTTCCAACTGCAACCCAGTACTGGGAAACACCCATACACTCTAACATTCACACACTCACTCATACACTGTGACCAATTTAGTCAGCCGGGACTCGAACCAGTGACCTTCTTGCTGTGAGGTCACAGGGCTAACCACTGAGCCACCCAGTCACCCAGTCTGACTGTTAGGTCTGAGGATATAAGGATGTAATAAGCAGTTTTTCTGTGCGTGCTGAAATAAAGTGCTGCACATACTGTCAGCTTTGCAGGTGTCGTTGACTCTGATGAAGTTCTTGTGGCAGCTGCACTTGTGTCCTCCTTTAGTGTTGTTGCAGATGTGAGAGCAGATCCCGAACTGCCGGCACTCGTTCACATCTGTGCAGACACAAACACACAAAAACAGCACATCAGACTAGAACAGGGACTTCAGACATACACACACATATATATATATATATATATATATATATATATATATATATATATATATATATATATATATATATATATATATATATATATATATATATATATATAT